GACCCACTCACTGTGTAGCAAACCCGGTAGGATAGACTACCATACGCACCTGTCACCGTCGATGGTGCTGAAATAGTGGCAGTCCGATGAACTGGACCTACTCGTAGTCAACCTCTTCGAGCTTGTCGCCCCAAAAACTTAGGATACCTTAATGGCCGGCAATCTGAAGTGGCCTGTTGAAGAACAAAGTCTGACGATTTTGTGGTGTATGTATTAAGCTGAGTCATAATATAATTGCGCGTTTGACAAAATTTCCCAGAGTACACAACTTTCTTGGGACCACTTAATAGTCCTAAGGAAAGAGGCGGATAGTTCACGTGTGCAGTGCCACTAAGTTTCGCTTTGTTGGAAGCACAACCCAGAGGCGGATGTGCGAAATGTCGTGAATAAGCAGAAAAAGAAGGGGCTGTTAGCGATGTGATAAGATGCACCGTCATAGCAGAAGATGCTCTAAGAATGAAGATGTAATATCGGGCTGCCCGGAAAGTCTCATTACAGCCCACTGTTGAGTATTTTATTTCTGGGTCACTTTCAGAAACTGCTAACACTTATATATCGTTAGAAAGCGCGTTCCTCGCTCTATCCAAATCTACTGTTTTTTTCCTGAATCACTTTTCCACTTTTTTGAAGTCTTGAATACAACATACTCAACAGCCTGCTTTGCACTAGTTTCTTGTTTCCCCTCAAACTTGCTCGGAAATGTGCGGAAGCAAGTTGCGATATCAACTAAGCATTTGGTTCTGAGCACAAAAAATACGCTGTGCAGTCGTAATTCAAAATGTCTTTCTCGCGATGTTGAAAGCTTCGAAGGAGATTAGTGATATCGGAGACTGATAAAGATCAGCTGAGGGTTTTGACCAACCAAGATCTGCATGAAACTGTTGAACAGGCTGGTTCTGAATTGGGCGTAACCGACATAAGATTTCCAAACATAGCGGTGAGGGTAAAAAGCCCAAAGAAGTCGAAAATTGGGTGCCGCCGGCTCTTCTACCCACTGTTGCACAACCCCATCTCGGACTTCCAAGTTGAACTAGCTGAGCTACGAAATGCTGCAAACATTTTACACACTAGACCTATTGCCTACCAACTATCACCTTTCTAACCATCTGGAAGGTCTACTTAGAGAGATTGAGCATTGAAACCCAACATGGTGGTGAAACGACCTTCGCCGAGTTCTTAGCTCACAGAACTCCAGCACTTCCAACATCCGGATCAGTCAAACTCATTTCTTGTAGGCAAAGGTATGGGGATTGTAATAGTTTTTATTTCGAGCAAAGGCGCTTTGTTTGAACAGATATGCGAGATATGCGCTTTCTAATTCTGAGAGTCAAAACGGCTGCAACTTTCCGGACAACCCAATATTCGGCACCAAACGATGGTCCATCCGCTGGCTCCAGCTGGGCTACGCCTTCCCTAACAATATGCTCTTGGAGCGCGCTTCTAAATCCTCGTCTTCATTCTTACAAATTCAGAACAGAGAACGTTGCAAAGATTTATTTTGTAGCGGCCATCGGAAGTTAAACAGAAGAATGGGTATGTCCATTCAGTGCTCGCATAGTAGACCTTCGCAACGACTTTTACCCAAGGTGCACACCACAGGATCCTGCGCACATCCGGTTCCATCTCCTACCAAATACACGACTGCTCCTCCATTAATGCTGGAATAGAAATGCTTTAACAATTGCCAAAAATCTTATAAGCTATCTACGTAGATCTACGTTACATCTTGTTATAGAAACATGTGAACACAGCTTCGGCTATTCCGCCATTCTTGCACTGCTCATAATTGCAGCCAACTTCATAAATAGATTCAGCAGCCATCTGGAAAATTGTGATCTACCATGAGAACATTCCAATAAAAGAGAAGAAGGGGTAGCTGACATTGACATAGGTGAGCTGTGCACCGTTTCTGTAACTGGTCACATTTCGCATTCCTCTACTCGGTTCTATAGCCGTTTTCGTGCTGTAGTATTCGGCTGGCATTGTCCATTCGTACATGGCATCGATGAGGAACATTTTCTTTCCCCTTTTTTGGATATAGTCCTCATCATTGGAACTGAAATCAACAAGTGACAATAGTATCTGATAGGTGGAGTATGGAATCGGAGTTTTCCACTCACTAATATATGTTCTGTGCTAAATTTTCGGCGGCAATATTATAATGATCGCAGCTTTTGGTTGCTTTCACAGCTTTCGCTTCTAAATTACAGCTCCATCTCTGCAAATATCCTACTATATATAATTCGCTAAGTATGTCTGTCTGTGTGTGGGTGTGTGTGTGTGTGTGTCTGTCTGTACGTACGTCCGTCTGTCACGAAATTCATAGCGCGCTTCGCTGCAGGCATGGAACGCTGTATTTTGAGTATGGTGTAGGGGGTGGGACGGCAACATATTTGGTGGGGTTTATAAAGTGATACCGACTGCGATAAGAAATCTGATAAGAGGCGCCAAAACACGCTAATTGTAGCCACCCTGAATATTCGCACGTAAGCGCGCGGTGTTCCAGCACCGTTCGTGGGGCCGTTGTCTACGAAGAAGTGCACTGTACCGCGTGCGCGACGGACATGTCCGCTGGCCGTCAGCGCAAGTGTAAGCTGATAAGGTTGACTACAGACCTAAAAACCGTCAATCTTCACACGTCCACCCGCCCCGCCCCGTTGCAGCCATGGTCGTGTTCCAAGAAGTGATGTCCAAGCCTCTGGGACCGGAAACATGTTCGTGGGTGCAGGAATCGGCATCAACGCGCCGATCCGAGACGCCCGATAATTACATGATCTTAGAACACTAGAAACCACTCTAAAACCATATCTCCTAATACTAACGCCATCTCTCCGCTTCCACGAATCATGCCGCGTTGTCCTATCATCAACAATCAAAATAGCGCGTCACAGCTACCGTCCAAAAGTTCCCCTAAGAATGTATGATGATGTTTAGCGATATACGATATGGGTATTTCTATTGCAAAATCATTGGCATCAATATTATTCGACCGCTAAATCATCCTGACATCCAATGCATGGTGGCTGTTTACAGACACCACTTTAGCTCCGCACTCCACCGCGCGTATCAGACGGTTGGTTAAAAATGGGCATTCTGTAGAAGGCCAGCTAACGCATTTCACGAAGCAAGTTATTGTTTAGCGGCGGAACCTAACGCTCCGCCGGCTGGCCAGCTTTACGGAGCCCTTCCGTGTCATGCACGCGGTAGTGTGCGGAGCTAAACTGGTAATATGATAAATCATAAAGATATCAGCGCGATATCAGATATCAGAAATTAAAGGAGTAATGAATGATTCCGGGCGGAAGTGGTGTAGTGGCAAGTGGCACGCTTACCACGCGAGCGGTCCGGGGATCAAATCCTGGGTCGTGAGTCGCCCGGGCCAACCAAGCCATCCCTCCGGGGTCGGTTAATTGGTACCAGACTTGTCTGGGAGGATAAAAACACTGACTTGTACATCGGCTGGCCCCCGCAAGTCATTGTATAGGCCACATCGCATTCAAACGCCACTACGAATGTACAAATGGAAGTAGAATGCGTGCCGCATCCCAAAAGGGATTGATCAACGGCAAATGCTTTATCCTTTTTATTTATTAATGAATGTTTTCACTTTAAGGAGCGGCGGGGGGAACCGGTACGACACCAGTTCATATCGCGTAAAGTGGTCCAACATTTCGCATTATACGGAAGCTCTGCGGTGGATGTAAAAGCGGAAGTGATCACACCGCGGGAAATTCTTCTTTGGAAAATCGAACTTTCTCTATGCGGCAGTAACTGTCTCACCACGCGCCACGTGACTAGATGAGACCCCAAAAGATAAAGCTTTCGGCTTTGACCAATCCTTTTTGAGATGCGCACGTATACTACCTCCATTCAAAATCTAGTAGTAGTTATTATTATTTTACTACGAAATTTAGTATACAACGAACGGATGTACTAGCCGAAGCCGAGCACAAGTCAGTGCCTTTGTCCTCCTAAGCAGATCTGCTACAATAAGGCGACCCCAGAGGGATTAAAGACTTGCTTGGTCTGGGCGTAAATGTTTGACTCTCGAGCCGTGTACCTAAAAATTGGCGCCACCTGCCACTACGCCTCCATCTCCGCCCAAACTGAAATTATGATCAAAATACTCGTGTTTTTTCTTCTCTAGTGCATCAGGTGGATAATAGGCAATTACCTGCCGTTGAAGTGGTATCAAAAACACAGAGCTTGAAAGTACGACCAGCCTAGTGGGCCTGTAAGCTTGCTGCTGGTTGTTGATGAATTGACACAACTCTCTTAAGGTAATTTCACAAAGGTCTAATGGTATCTCTGCTAAGTATTCTTGTGCTGTCCGCACTACACTGTTCGCCCACATCTCGGTTTTTGGGCTACCGTTTTATGGCAGCTTTGGACTACGCCATGGGTTCAGCATTCAATCAATCAGGAAGGGAAACAATATTTGGACAAAAACATGCTTGGTATTTCTTCTAGGGTGCAGTAGACGTCGAAGTAAGCAAACCAGCCCTTTTGGCGTTTCTGCTGGGGCCGTATGCTGAATGTTGGGGAGGGGATGGGGTCCCCGACGGTGGACGGACTACTTCAACTCGGTCCTTAGAACCGCCACAATTTGGTGCTTACCTCAGAACTAAGCCTTAAAGAGAGGACGCGTCCGTCCCCTCTCCAAGGCTTAGTCCTGGGGTAAGCAAACCAGCCCTTTTGCGGAGCTGCTGGCAGGGTCAACCCTACGTTGTTACTAGTAACAACGGGGGGGTCGTACCTGGTTGAGTTTATAGGAGGGGGGTCGTATCCGCTTCAGTCGCGTGAAATTACATGTGAGTTTGTGGTGAAAGTGGAGTTTTCACGAGTAGTAGGCTAGGTGAGTTGGGAGCGCACGGGAGAAAAATTCGCCGTTTCAGCGCGCGTATATCCCCCCCCTCCACCAAAAAAAAGTGGGCGGAGTTTGGTGGGTTGAGTGGTACCAGAATTAAATACTATAGAGAGGAATATGGTGGTCGAGGGTCGAAAAGGGGGTCGTACCAAATCCACCTTGGGGGAGGGGGGTCGTAAAAATTTTTGAAAAAGTAACAACGATAGGACTGACCCTGGCTGCTGGACCAGCTGCACCACTTGTGTCATTACTCTCCTACCATACCAACCGAGTTGAAGTAGTCCGTCAAGCGTCAGGGACTCCATCCACTTCGCAGCATTCAGCATACGGCCCCAGCAGGAACGAGAGTCAACCCTGCGTTGCGCAGTTCGCAACGGCGCGTCGAGAGATCCTCAACGCACGCTGTATGGGCGGAGACGCAGACGGCTCGAGCATGCGAGTGTGAATGTTCGCGCGAGAGAACGTGTCTAATCGGGCGAAACTGCGCAACGTGGCCGTTGAGAACTGCGCAACGCAGGGTTGACTCTGGCCAGGAACCCAAAAGGGGTGCTTTGCTTGCCTTTCAGAACGTCCAAGATCTTCAATCTTCACTGACTTCACTTCCACGGGCCCTGATTAGTTTGGCAACCAACCAAAGAGCAGGCACAGAGTCACACTTGTTCCCATGTGAGTGATGATACGTTTCTTATCGCTGCGCGTTCCCCAACTCTGCGTTAGGCTTATAAATTTCGGAATCGAAATGTATGTTCGAAAACAACGTTGGACTAACCATTTTGTAAAGGTTTTCTGCAGGCAATAGATTATTCCCTCGATAACCTGGCGACAATCCTTTAGCTAGTTGGGTCCTAAATCCATTATGAAATTCCAGAATTATGTCACGTGTCGAGTCGTCCATGTTGGGACCATGTGTTTGGCATTTCTCTGTAATCACCAAAAGTATTTCGCTTGGATAAAGTGGCCCTTCACCTTAAATCACATTATTCCGCACCTTATTTGGTCATTTGGCCATGAGAACTGCAAAAATGAAAAAAGTCTCAAAGCAGTAACGCCCGTCAAATTGGAGGGCAGGAGGGGGTACCCTCCTCAGGAGGCCCGTCGCGCGGCAAGAAGGCAGAGTCGGCGGACGAGTTGCAGCGCGTGGTGTGCGATGTAGGACGTGCAGTGGGACATTTAACTTGACGCGAAATCTATAGTACGCGCGCGACTCGTCCGCTGACTTTGCCTTCTTGCCGCGCGACGGGCCTCCTGGGGGGTACCCGGGCAGGAGGGGTGGGGGTGAGGTGAAAGTGTAGCTCGGGGGGCCACCTTATACGTCACTCGAAGTGGAGTTGTGCAGAGATGCTCACATCTTATCAAAGATCACCAAATCTTTCGCTGCGACAGTGGCCTACGAACACCACGTCACACTTGCTATCATTGTCGTATTATTCTATGGCGAAAATGGCTGCCACCTTGCTGACGCTTCATTTTAAGTAAACCTTCCTGCGATCACATGCAAGCCTCAGAACGAGGTCCTTTCAGGTATCCAATTTTGTACAGAATCTCGTCTTGGAATTTCTATTTAGTCGTAGTACACTCAGAGCCTGAGCTCTAAACGTTGATCAGATATGACCGCTTTTTGCAACTTAACTTTGGTTAGTTTTATGAGTGCCCCCCCCCAAACTACATTTTCACCCAGGGTAACTACGAAAAAGTATGAATACCGAGTCCACTGAAAATGAAAAAACGCAACTTTTCTTCCTCTCTGAATTGAGGAAAGGGCGTGTCTGGACGAGTTTTCTGAATTGCTTGCAAAATGATTCCACAAATCTGCGCCTATTTTCACTAGCCGCCACGTCGTAATCCACGTTGCATGTCGTGGGGGGTTCGCGCGAAGAATCTCGTCCATTTGCTCGCAATAGTTTAGAATTGCTAGGGCCCTCTGGCGCCGTTATTGCACGGCTTTGAATCGCAGCAACGGCACTTCGGAAATACTTCTACCAACATCCCTATCTACCTATGAAACACGTTTTTTCACACGACCTCATCTGGAGTTTTTTCTTCAAAGGGCCTCAATAAATCAAAAACTTCAGAAGGATTTGCTAACATGACCGTAGTCCCGGAGATATCAGAAGAAATAAAAATAGCGCTTTTCAGAGGCGAATATCGAAACAGTGAAGTGTATGGCACCAGAAGATTAGAAAAGGCGTATGAGGCTCCCTCTGGTTCGGGACGTAAGACGCGGAGCCGGAGCATTATGGCAAATGTAAGTATGAGGGCTGTTACTCGTTGAATATTTTCCTTGTAACTTGAAAAACTTGTGACAGTTTTGTTTCTTCAACAATATCAATGCTTCTTGAGTTTTCCTACTTTTCTTACATCTAGTCGGATTTTTCAACTCCAAAAGGTGCTGAGTTCAAAATCATGCGAGTTACCCCAAGCGTTTGAACCCAGCAGAGTTTAGAATTTTTTCGTCGTTTTTAGGGTTTTCTGGTATATGCGAGGGTTTCACTATAGTCATAGAGAGCTCTGCTCCAGCTTAAGATTGGAAATCAAGTCGATGCCGAAAGAACG